GTTGTAGATATAAACAGAGTAAAGTTTGAAAATGTCTTCCTGTGAACTAAATGAGAATTCTAATTGACCATCCTCAGCCTCACTGTGGAGTCATGGTTGACCTTGATCTTCCTGCATCCAACTCCTGAATACTAGGGTCATCAAAATGCAGCACCATGCCCAGGAAAGATAAAAATCTTATAATTATAAACGCTGCTTTTTCCCCTAGCAGTTAAACATTCTGAATGTAGCTGCCAAGAAACTCAACAGTTTAATTATTCCAGGTTGTGAGGTTTTCCTGTTGTTTTGGCCTGTGTGGGTGTGACTGTGTATGGACATGAGGCAGTCCATGGAGCCAAAGGTCATTCTTAGGTATCATTCCTAAAAAATGATTAACCTTGTTTTTGATACAAAGTCTCTCACTGCGGGGGATCTGGGACTCACCAATTAGTCTAGGCTGGCTGGCAAGGGAACCCCAGCAATCCTCCTGTCTCTGCCTCCTAAGCGCTGGAGTTATAAGCAAGTACCACCATGTGCTGCTTTTTATATGAGTGCTGAGGATTACCTCAGGTGCTCATAAGCACTTTACTGAGTTTTTTCCCCTGCAGCCTCCAGATTGTGAGTTTCTAAAGCAAATGTACCAGAAGAATTAATGAGAAAATTGTGACTGTTTTAAAAAAGAGCAAGTAAAATACTGGTTTATGGAGTATAGACTGAAAATTTAATAAGAGCAAGAAGGATAGGGTTGGAAAATTAGCAAGGCCAGAAGCTGAGAGGTTCCCATGAGGTCAGATACCCAGACACACACACACACACACACACACACACACACTCACTCACTCACTCACTCACTCACTCACTCACTCACACTCCCTCCCTCCCTCTCTCCCTCCCTCCCTCCTCCAGGCACTGAGGATAAAACCCTGGGGCTTTATGCATGCTAGGCAAGCAGTCTACCAGTGATATTTTCCCTATCCCAGAACATGGCTTTAATGGTGTGTATTGAGGAAGAAAACTGGAACCAAAAGGAAGTAAGGTATTTGAATTTATGATTTCACTGGTATGCCAGTTCTAAGGACTGCCAAGATCTAATAATATCTGAGGGGGTAAAGTACTTCAAGCAAAGGGAAAATTTACCAGAAATGAAGCAGTAAAGGAACTAGGTGTGTGAAGGGGAACTGCCATGAAAAATGGCAGGACATACACGAAGTTTTTAAAAATGTAATCCAAGTCGGGTGTGTTGGGACACTCCTTTAATCCCAGTACTCGGGAGGCAGAAGCAGGTGGATCATTCTGAGTTCAAAGCCAGCCTGGTCTACATAGTGAGTTTAGGTCAGCTGGGACTACAGGGAGACCCTGTCTCAAAAAGACGCCCCACCCCCAAATGTAATCCAGAAATTTAAATGAGTGCAAAATATATAGGATGGCTGATAATGTTGACAAGAAGAAAGGTAGGAGATGCAACTACATGGTAAAAGCTTCTGTATTAGTTACTTTTCTGTTACTGTGATAAAAACACCATGAACAAGGGAACTTATAAAAGGAATAGTTTATTTAGCTTACAATTCCAAAGGGGCAAGAGTCCATCATGGCAGGGAGGCATGGTGGCAGAGGTGGCTGGAGTAGGCACAGAAGCTAAGTGCTCATATCTTCAAGCAGACACAGGAAGCAGAAAGTGACTGGACATCTGGCAGGGTTTAAGAACTAAGCCTAATCCCAGTGACTTGCTTCCTTCAGCATGGCCACACCTTCTAAGACCTCCCAAAACAGTGCCACCAACCTGGGACAAAATGTCCAAATACTTGAAACCTATGGGGGACATTCTCATCCAAACCATCACAGCTTCCTAGAAATAATTTCATATAAACATGGAAAGAATAGTAGAATTAGCACTATGGAAAAAAGAAGTTGAATCCACTCTACAAACCTGTATGCAACATGTAGTAGAATAGTGGCTGCAAACTCTGGGAGTGCAAGGCATGTATTCTTGGGAGGGACTGGGTCCATGGTTTCAGTTAAGAGACAGACAGACAAGTGAAAATTGACTGGTGTTTGTTTTCTAAAGAAAGTATTTCAGAGAACTCAACGAAAAGATTTGGGAAGGAAAAGAATGAATTTTGAGGGATAAAGCAGTAAGCAAAGAAATGTTGGAATCTGTATGATGGCACATAAAGAATAGCAATTACTATTTGAGCAGTGTTCAAGATGTATGTGTCTGTCTGATTGCTGGGTATGGTGGCTCATACCTGTAATCCTAGCACTCAGAAGGCTGGGACCAGAGGGTTAAAAAGTTCAAAGGTGTGGGCTAGAGAATTGGCTCAGTAGTTAAGAGTACTGGCTGCCTCTTGCAGAGGACCCTGGTTGGGTTCCCAGCATTCACATGACTGTTAACAACTGTAACTGGATTCAGGGATCCGAAGCCCTCTTCTGGCCTCTACAGGCATTACACAGGCTTACAATACATGCAAAATACTCATACACACAAAATAAACAAATATGTTTTTTAAAAAAGAGTTCATCATCTGTGGTGGTTACGTACCTTTTAATTTCAATACTTGGGAGGCAGAGGCAAGCAGATCTCTATGAGGTGGAGGCCAGCCTGGTCTACATAGCGAGTTCCAGGCCACCTATAGGGTGACCCTGTCTCAACAAACCAACCAAAAAACAGTTCAAAGGCAGCCTGAGCCAGAACCTATCTCAGAAAACTAAAAGCAAAGCAAAACAAAACATACCTGTCATATATAGCCCTTAACTTTTCAACATATTCTAACTTCACAAAATTTCAAATTCAAGGGGACTGGAGAGCTGGCTCAGCAGTTAAGAACACTGGTTGTTATTGCAGAAGACCCAGGTTCAAATCCCAGCACCCACATGGCAGCTAACAACTGTCCGTAACTCCAGTCCCAGGGAATCCGACAGCCTCTTCTGACCTCTGGGCATTGCATGACACGGGTGCACTTACCTACATGCAGGCAATACACGAATACACATAAAATAAAAATACATTTAAAAAAAATACTATCTATTATGTATTGTTTTGTGTCCTAGGCTATCAGCTTTTTTCTCAGGTGTTTCAGAGTATAAAGTTTATACTAGTTTGGTATACCATGTATATGTTTAATACTGAAAGTGTGGTTTTGGTTTTGGGTGTTTTTGTTTTTTACCAAAACTTTTCAAAGAAATGAGTACTACTCTTGAATCAGTGAGAAAGTTTCCTCATGTTACTTGTAATTCTAATGCTGTTCTCTATCGTGGGATTAAGAATCTTCCAAGTTACTAGAAACAGTAGAAATCTGAACCCAAAGAATTACTGAAGTGATTTCAGTGTCCACATGAAATTGGGCTTGTGACTTGGGCTTGTACAGTGCTTAAGTCCAGTGTTGTCACCTTTCTGCAGTATTTGTTCAAATAATGCTTAATATGTACATGATTGCTCACTTGAAGCTTGCTCTATTTATGCTATGTTTTGTTGCTTTTTGTTTTCTTAGGCAGGGTATTACTATATAGCCCTGACTGACCTAGAACTCACAGAGATCCACATGCTTCTGTCTGCCTAGTGCTGAGGTAAAAGAAGTGTGCCATAAAACAAAATTAAAAACTAAAAAAAAAAAAAGACGTATACCACTATGCCCTGCTTATGTTTTTTTTTTAATATTTTATTATTTTTATTTTATGTGTATTCGCGCTGTGCACACACTGAGAAGGCAGAAGAGGGCATCAAATCCCCTGGAACTGCAGTTTTGGAGAGTTGATTGCTACCATGTGGAGGGTGCTGGGAACTGAATTCTGAGTCTACTGCAAGAGCAGCTAGTGCTCTTAACTGCTAAGCCATTTTTCCAGCTACAAATATTTTTAGTTTTGACACAAGGTCTTATGTTGCCTAGGCCTACCTCAAACTAGCTACACTTTGTGTGAGATTAAATTCAGGGCTTCTTCCTGGGTAAGCACTCCATTAACTGAGCTATATCCACAGCCCCTTAAGTATTATCACCACATTACCCAGGTATGGTGACACAGGCCTTTGATCCCAGCACTCAGGAGGCAGAGGCAGGCAGATGAGATCAAGGCTGGCGTGGTCTACATAGTGAGCTCCAGGCCAGCTGGGACTGCAGGGGGACACTGTCTCAAAAAAAGGTTAAAAAACAAAACAAAACTATATATATAATCAAATCTCCCCTTTTGATGGAGTAAAGCAGTACTCCTACTATAAATCATCCTGTGAATTTAGGAAAAAATAAGTTCCCCTCCCAAATTTGCCAGTTCAAATTTCCCCTACCCTCCAGGTGATGCTAATGTTTAGTATGATTTGAGGTTCAAACTTCCTTAAAAATTCATGTGTCCCATTCTTATTGATTATATATTGACAACTATGCAGTGACAAGTGGAAAACAACAAAAATGGTTTGAAAAGTGACCTCTTAGCTACATGGGTGGTTCACACACCCAGCAACTTCATAGTGCATGCAGTTCAGACTTTACCCCATCAGAATTACATAGCAGTATTGACCTTCTGCACAGCTTATACAATGTGAAGAATATGCAGTATGTGATTTATCTCTACTTCATGTTAAAATATACCATAGCGTAAATGTTTATTGAGAACCTATATTGTCTTTATCTGCCTCATGAAACTTTGAGAAGTTCTCATATTTAGTTTATGTTTATTTTAAACATTTTTTTGTGATTTCACTTTTCTTTTGAGCCAGATAAGTGGCACATACTATAATATCAACACTCAGGAGGTAGAGGCAGGAGGATCAGAATTCAAGGCTATCATAAGCTACATAGCCATTTGGAGGCCAGTCCTGGGTTGCATAAGACCCTGACTCAAAAAAAAGAATTCCATTTGAGTTGATATCCTTAATATATTAAGGATATATATATAAGAGCAATATATTGCTACTAGTAGTTATGGTCATCTACATATTTTATTTTTGCTTTATATACACAGAATTTCTCAAAGATTTATTTCAATAAGCAAAATCATCTACATATAGTCTCTTTCATATATTTACTGCTTAGGTGCCTATGGTTCATGCTTGAAGTTTTAATGACCAAGAATGAAAATAACAGCCACGCCTTTATGAAGAAGATGGCAGAGAACATCAAGTTAACCAGAGATGCCCAGTCTCCAGATGAATCTAAGACAAATGAAGTAAGATGAGTTTTAGCCTGGTGCATGCTACAGAAAATATATTAGCCAGCTTGTTCTTACCAGCTAAATTATGTACCAGCTTAGGTTGCAAAGTATTTATTAAAATATATGTATAGCCAATTTTTATTGCCTATTCTCATAAGCAAAATTTGTTCTGGTATCTTTAATGTTCTTAAAAAGGCATTAACTGCAGAGCAAGAGGATATGAATTAATGAAGTGTACATCAGTCCTGTGTTATACACTTCATCCTACTCACAGTTACAGAAAAAATACACTTTGGGTTTACTTATTTCTAGTATGTATTTGATATATTAAGGTAGAGGGCTTTAATTACCAGGAGTCTCAACAGTGCTGAGCAGAAATAGAAGCTGTTCAAGAAATAAGTGGCCACATTTAATTTTCAGCTCTTAATTTATACATCTGGTAGAAGTGGTACCTGTGATACTGTTGCAGTCATAATCATTTGTTTATTTTTCCTCCGTAGAAACTTTATACAGTATGTGATGTGGCTCTGTGTGTTATAAACAGTAAAAGTGCTTTGTGCAATGCAGATTCACCAAAAGACCCAGTCCTCCCAATGAAGTTTTTTACACAACCTGAAAAGGTAATATTCCTCAGTTTACTTTTCTCCAATACTAAAGTGATTTAAATTTCAGCCATCAAATTCTAGTAATAGATGTTGGGTTGTTTTAAGGACCAAAACAAAAAAATTAAATACCTCTAAATTTGTTGAGGAACAGAAAATCATCTTCCAGATCTCTGAATCACATTCCTATCAAAGGAGGAGAGTAGAAATGAAACTGCTTATTGCTGTTCTTCTGTTACATCTGAGTATTTTTGATGGGAAGAAGAATTTTCAGGGTTTTTTAAATATATTTTATTTTTTGATCTAGGTCTTAGTAATAACCCCCTTAGAGTATTCTGAAAGGGAATATTTCAGGAAATAAACCTTTTTATTTTAAACATCATATTTTGCTTAAAAAAAAAAAAAAGCTCATCGTATTGTCAGGACTGATGAGCTCAGTTCAGTCCCTGGGATTCACATTAATGGAAGGAGAAAACTGGCTACTGCTAGTCCTTTGACCTCCACACAAAAGAAATAATTTTTTATAGAAAAGTTTAAACTAGCAGGTGTGGTGGTGCAAGCCTTTATTTAATACCAGCACTTGGGAGGCAGAGGCAGATGGATTTCTAAGTTCAAGGCCAGCCTGGTCTATGTAGTTCCAGGCCAGCTGGGGCTATAGGAGACTGTCTCCAAAAAAAAAAAAAAAAAAAAAGGTTTAAACTGAGTCAGATGTGGTAACGCATACCTGTGTCCTTACTGAGGAATTAGAGGCAAGCAAGAAGATCAGGAATTCAAGCAGCCTGTGCTTTATAAAAAAAAAAATTTATGTTTAATTAAACTGAGTTTAATAGTTCACATGTGCTTTTTTTTTTTTTTTTTTTTTTGAGACTTGGTCTTTCTGTAGGCCTGGCTGGTCTGGAACTAGAGTTATAGACCATTGTTAGCCACCATGTGGGTGCTTATAATCAGACCTGGGTCCCCTGAAAGAAGGGCAAGTGTTCTTAACTGCTGAGCCATCTCTCCAGTTCCCCTCTCTCCTACCCACCCCCATTTTTTCATTGGCACTGTAAAGATTAGCAAGCTTATTTCCACTGAGATTAAGAAATTGCTGTTTGTCATTATACCTAGATGGTTCTAAAAGAGTTTTTGTTTTGATGTCTCTAACACAGTGCTTCTAGTCCTAATAAGAAGTTAGACTTTTCTTGTGGGGAGGGTGTTTTGGGGTTTTTCAGCGGGCGTGGTTTCTTGAGACAATGTCTCACTATGTAGCTCTGGCTGGTTGAAACTCACTGTGTGAAACTCACTATGGCTGGCCTTAAACACGCAGAAATCCACATGCCTCTGCCACCCCAGTCCTAGGATTAAAGGCATGTGCCATCATGCCAGGCCCAAAAGTTAGATTTTTCTTCTCTTTATTGTAGTGAGGAATCACGGAGCCTTTGCTATATAACCCAGGCTGGCCTTAAACCTGCTATAATCTCCTGTCTCAGCCTCCCAAGTACTGGAATTACAAGCATGCACCACTGTTCATGGAAGATTTTTCTTTCTTGTTTATTTATTGAGGAGTGGAGGCACATGTATGGGGGTCAGAGACAAGTAGCTGGAGTTGGTTCACTCCTTCCACCATGTAGGTTCCAAGGATAGAACTCAGTTTTTCAGGTTTAGCAGCAAGTGCCCCCCACCTGCAAAGCCGTCTCACCTGTACAGTTTTACGTGTGTGTGTGTGTGTGTGTGTGTGTGTGTGTTTGAGTTTGAGGCAGGGTCTCCCTGTAGTTGTAGCTGGTCTGGATTCCCTGTGGAGACCAGGCTGGCCGTGAATTCAGAGATCCTCCTGCCTCTGTCTCCCGAGAGCTGGGATTAAAGTCATGTACCACCACACCCGGCTTACATTTTTCTATTTTTAATATGCAGCTTTCTTCCTTTCTTTTTCTAAAATACTATTTAAAATCTGACAAATTCAGACACCAGAACACCAGGCTTGTACAAGTCTTTTTGCTGTACTATATATGAAACAAGCAAATTTTGGTATCCAGGCTTTGTTTCATTTTAGCTGCCTATTAAGTTTTTGTGCTAAAGAAATTATATCCCTGAGGTGGGTATGGTAGTAAACATATCCAATCCCAGCACTAGGGAGGCTGAAGCAGGAGGATTATGTTTGATGCCAGCCTTTACTAAATATACATAACTGTCTCAGAAACTAAAGAAAGACAGAAAAACAAAGACTACAGCTTTTCCCTACACGTCTGACTAAAGTTTGAGCTTCTTCCTTTTTTTCAAAGTATTTTATTAATTTTATCTTATGTATATGAATGTATTGCCTGCATTATATGTAAGCGCAACTGTGTTGTACAATGCCTGTGGACGTCAGTAGAAGGAGTTGGATCTCCTGGAACTGGAGTTAGAGATGGTTGTTAGCAGTCATGTGGGTGCTGGGAATCAAGTCCTGGTCCTTTGCAAGAGTAGTCAGTGCCAGTGCTCTTAACCACTGAGCCATCTCTCCATCCCCACATGTCTGAGCTTCTCATAGGCACATTTTGGCCTCTTATTCAAGTCTATTATACCACTGTATGAAGATATATTTTCCAAAATAAAAATGTACTTTTAAAAAATATTTATTTTTATTTTATACGTATGAGTGTATTGCCTACATGTATGTGACTGCACCCGTGTCATGCAGTGTCTCAGAGGTCAGAAGAGGGCTTCAGATTCCCCTGGAACTGGAATAAAGGACGGTTCGTAGCCACCGTGTGGGTGCTCGCAATCGAACTCGGGTCCTCTGCAAGAGCAGTCAGTGCTCTTAACCGCTGAGCTATTTATTCAGCCCCCAAAACGTACTTTTTAATTATACAGGGCTACATAAGACCATTTTCATGCAATTATATAAGGTACTTTGTTTTGTTTTGTTTTGTTTTGTTTTTTTGAGACAGAGTCTCCATGTGGACCCAGCTGGCTTGGAACTCACTATGGAGACAGGCCTGCTTCAAACTCACAGAGATACACCTGCCTCTGCCTCCCAAGTGCTGGGATTAAAGGCCACCACACCCTGCTATAGCTACTTTTATGTGAAATTAGTGAGTCAGTCCTCTCTACCCTTCTTCCTCCTCTCTCCTTTTCCTGGAAATAGGAAATGCCTATATTGCCAAAGCTGATCTTGAATTCCTGAGGTCAAGTGATCATCCTGCTTTAGCCTCTCAAATGCTGGGATTACTTGTGTTATCACTCCTACTTCTAATGAATTTCTTGACCAGTTTTTATATTTGTTGCTTCAATGACACTACTGTAATTTGTTTGTAATTTTCAGGGTATTTAATAGGGAAAATCAAACTGTTAAATTAGATACAGACATAACATTCAGGAAAATACCACCAATGTCTACACTGTGTTTAGTTGGTTTATTAACTGGTTAGTGTCTCTGCTCTCAGGGGATTTTTTTCCTTGCTTAGTTGTACCATGGTAATGTTTTTGCCTTTGTGATTTGGACATAGGTCTTATGGGTCTAAGAAGCAAAGATTTGGGGTTGTTTTTTAGAAAGACTGGTCTCAAACTTGAGATACTTTTGCCTCAACCTCCCAGTACTGAGAATACAGACAGATGTTCATTTTTCCAATGATCGTAATTTTCTTGAAATGGAATATGGAGTTCCTTAATGAATATGAAGTGCTTCATATAAGCCAGGTGTGGTTACATTGAGACCCTCTCTCAGAAAAATAACATCAGTCAGGCATGGTGGTGCATGCAGAGGCAGATGGATCTCTGTGAGTTCAAGGCCAACCTGGTATACATAGTGAGTTCAAGGCCAACTGGGGCTACAGGGGAGACCTTGTCTCAGAAAGATCAAAACTATAAAAATAAAAATTTAGAAGTGCCTAGTATATACATAATACCATATTTTTTTATCAACTCAGAAATAGATTTTATAATAAAGTAGAAGTGGTGATAATACTTTGAACCATAGGAAAAGACAGGAGTGTTGTTTGTTTAAAATATGGAAAGACTGAGGATGTAATTCAGTGGGAAAGCTCTTGCCAAGTATGTGTGGGGTTCACTTACCAGCACCACATACCACAAAACTGGGGACATTTACCTAGGTCTTAAATTATTATGTATGTTAGCACAAGTATAGTTGTTATTGCAAGTTTCAGTTCTTAAAATGCTTTGTTTAGTTAACAAAAATGTGTATATTCAATTTGGTTGATTTTTTTATTTTTTGTTTTCTGTTTTCTTAATAGGACTTCTGTAATGATAAGAGTTATATATCAGAAGAGACAAGAGTACTTCTCTTAACCGGAAAGGTAATGTGTACTTAGTGTTTGAGAGATTGCTGTCTAATATGTGTGTTCTTTCTGCTGTATATCTCCCAGAAGTTTTAGTTACTGATTATGAAGGTGGAATTAATGAATTGATTATATTAACAGCTAATGCTCTCAGACAGTTGTGCCATGAACCACTCTTCAGAATCACTACCGTGCGTTGTTTACAAATCACAAGGCAGATTTGCATGGGTAGTAGAACAGTAAGCAGATAGACAAGATAAAAGAAATAATTTGAAACACTAGTAAGGTTGACAACTACATTTAATAAAAGTAATGTGATGTAAACTATTACATGCATTCAGTACTTTGCTTCTAAGATATTTATCATTTCCATAATTTGGATGCATCAGTTTTGTCTTAATTAAACTAAGAGATAGCAAGTATTGCCTCATTAAGTTAAGGTAATCTGTATACTTGTTTTTTGGTCTTTTGAGACGTGGTCTCCCTCTATGTAGCCCCAGTTGACCTGAAACTCACTGGGTAGACCAGGCTGGCCTCGAACTCACAAAGATCCGAGTGCCTCTGCCTCCAGAGTGCTGGGATTAAAGGCATACACCACCACACCCAGCATATACTTTTTACTTGTATTAAACAAGTATTAAAAACATTTTTTTCAGGATTAATCATGTCAAATAAATTGAGGGTTTAACTTTCCAAGATAAGAATAACCCTTGGTTTGTACTAAAGTATACATCTTAGCTGATTCTAAATTTTTATGCATTACTTTTACTAAAGTATGAAATAACGTATGTATGATTTTCAGCCAAAACCTACTGGAGTACTAGGTGCAGTAAACAAGCCTTTATCAGCAACGGGAAGGAAGCCGTATGTTAGAAGCGCCGGTACAGAGACTGGAGGGAATATTAATGTCAATTCAGAGCTGAGCCCATCAACTGGAAATCGTTCAAGGCAATTCATTTTCTCTACATTTTTATTCTATACATGCTGTTTGGTTTACTTTTTAACTTATTCCTACAACATTGTATTATTCAATGGACTTTTTTAGATGTAGTATAAATGATACTGGTGAATTTTAATGTTTTTCATGAGACTCAGTGCACTGTTTTCAAACAATGTAGCATTCTGTGCAGAAAAAGTTAGTGGGGAAAAATAAGATTTTTTACGTTACAGGAAAAAGTTTCCTTTTGCATATAAAGAACATTTAATATACAGGACTATAGTGAGAATCCAAATACTGCCTCCTTCCCCACAATACTAGGGTTTGAACCTAGTACCTCAGCATACTAGTCATGAGCTTAGCTATATATATTTCAGCTGTGAAAATGCCAATCTTAAATTGCAGTATTTTTAACTCAAATAAGTATAATATGAATTAAGATAACATTTTATACATTTTGCATCTTTTAAAAATACTTTTTTTCCCTTGTGGTGTTAGAGATTGAATACAGAGCATCATATGTGCTGTGAAAGTACTCTTTCCACAGAGATACATCCACCAGCCCTTCATGCTTATCCCTGTTTAAACACAAACAAGGGGCTGGAGAGATTGTTCAGCAGTTAAGAGCACTGGCTGCTCTTGCTGAGGACCTAGGTTTGATTCCCAGCACCCACATAGCACTGTTGGTAACTCCAGCTCCAGGGGATCCTGTGTTCTCTTCTGACCTCCACAGGCATTTTATGACATGGGTACATTTACATACTTGCAGGCAGTGCATTCATACACATAGAATAAAAATAATAAGTAAAGTATTTTAAAAACAAAACACTGGTGAAAGGTTTTGGGGTGGGAAGGTACTTGGTACTTTCTCTCTCTGTCTCTGTCTCTCTCTCTGTCTCTCTCTCTCTCCCTCCCTCTCCCTCTCCCTCTCCCTCTCCCTCTCC